AAAAAAAAAAAAAAAAAAAAAAAAAAAAGAACTTACAGTATTGACAAGCAGTGCTAATAACATTAGCACATGCATACCTAAATAAAAATAAGTGAAATGTGCTACTAAATTAAGATAAAAATACAACTGAAAGGGATTTTGAAAAATAAGCCACAAACATATAGACAAAAATAAAGGCCTTCCATTTAAAATCAGTGAATTTTATGGCATAAAAGTTATACCTTAAAGTTATTAAAAGGGGACTCTAAAATCAGTGTTGGAGACTTATACAATTATTTTGGAAAAAGTGAAACGCTATTCAACAGCATGAGATAGCAAATTGTTTTAAGTACTACAACTGTTACCTGTTAGTTTTATTTGGATTATAATCATAAGATTCCTTAATTGCATTCATCATTCTCTTTGAATTGATCCTCCAAAGTTTAAGAGAGTGATCCATACCACAGGACATTATTTTTTCACCCAAAAGATCATAATCCTGTATGTAAAACAGAAAAGCTTAAATTAAATATATAAATTATTTCCCCAAATTATGCTATCTAATTTTCATCTGATGTCCAGTATTGTGAAAATTGTATTTCAAACCACCATACTAACATTTTGGGTTTCATATATGTAGGCCATAAGCCACAAAGTTTCTACTACTTTTGAGATTTATTTTAACTGATGTGTCACCACCACAGTATATGAGCTTATACAATACGGAAGGCAAAAAAGTAAACTGAATTTAATTTTATCTATTCAATTATCTTTATTCAAATATTTCCTTTGCTTGATTTTGAAGGTGAATAGAATGATGACGTAAAACAATTATTCTGACACAAAAACCTAAATGGTTATGTTACTTTTCTTTGTCTAACCCTGATCAAGCAATGAAACTGACATCTGTATGTGAAATTATGAGTCCTTAAACAATTGAAATTTTACTTTATTTGTACACCTAAGTCACAACACTTCAGGTACCTTGGTTTTAGAGTTCACTTTTTAAAAGAATAAAGGAAAAAATGTCTAAAAAAGGAAATAACATATTTAAACTTTTTCATTTGCTATTTACTAATTTTTACTAAGCTCCTAACAGATCATCCATTAAAACCTTATTCCACCTCATTGCATAGATGAGACACTGAGGCACAGAGATGATATTTAAGTTAGCACATGGTACATACATGTGTTAAGGAAAATCTCACACATCAATCCTTCTAGCAGTGAACTCCTATTGTTACAGAGAAGAGATACAGACTCCTGCTCTCATTTTAAGAAATAACAGTAGAGAGTTCTATTTAAGGAGAGTATTTTCCTCACTAAACTAGATATTCTGTTAATCCAACCTTTAAATTAATCATGAACACTGTTTTACACAGCCTGAGACCTTTAGGTCTGGTGTTTATTGAATCCACAAGTCTGGTAGCTGCTCTTTTCCTAATAACCTCACTGTCAACAGCAACAAGACACCCTTAGAGCCAGGAGCTCTCATTAGTCTTTAACGAAGGACAGTAGTCTTTTCACACATAGAACCAGGTGGAGATTGCTATTGCAACTTCTAGAAAATCCAAGTTGCAAGTTCTAGATAATCCTTTAAGGTAGGTATAATTCTCACAAAAGTATACAAACCCTAACTATAGGAACAGTTAGTACCTCCAATTAAAATGTCACATGCTTCAAAATACGGTGCCCCTTTAAATAGTTTTAAAAAAAAGAGGAAAAGAAATGAGCTATAAGACTACTAAATAAGTAAGCTCTACACGAAACACAAGTAAATCTGAAATAACATAAAAATCTGAAACTTGACTAAAAACATTTATATCATTACAATAGATCAATAGATTATAATACATAAGTATAAAGATAACACCATGCCATCAAAGGGAAGAGTTATCTAAAACTCAGTGTGAACAACACTTCCTAGAAATAAGTAACTTATATTTCAACTTCAAATAAAAGATGAAAAAGTTTCTTAATTGCCAAGTAGGTTACCCTTTTCCTTTAATAACTGAGAAACAACAGAAGTTAACTTGGTGATTTTAGATTAAAAAAGGAAAAGAACAAGTTCATAGTATTCGTTCATGAGAATCCAGGCACTGAGTACGGATAAAACACAAAGAGCCTATTTGCTTTACGTCTTCATCTGTAAGTTAAAACCTTCTCTGTCACAAGTAAATGAAATAACTGTCTGCCAGACTAGGTGAAACAAACCACAGGCTTTCTTATAAGGAAAGAGTTCTATGGGTATTGTTCACAGCTTTGTACACCTGAAGGTCACTGCCCTGTAGCTTTCAACTTACAGCACTTAGAACTTCATCTCTGTGCCCTTCTACACCTCCAAATATTGCCACCAGAGTGTCCGTTTGGATATTCCATAATCGTAAAGCATGATCTAGTACAGACATAAAAAAATTAATATGAACCTTTATCATTCATTTACTGTGGACTTTCAAAAGCTCTTTAAAGAAGAAAAAGCTACCAAAGTTTGGACTAAACTTACTCACAGTAAAGATTAAGAAAGAATCCATACCATATAGGAACTTAAAATATTTATATCACCTGTAGATTTAACTAGGTATGAGCTCATACTTTCAAGATAAGAAAGAAATATTTCTCTGGTCCTAAATTTGATTATTGCATATGCCATAGAACAAGGTACTAGCTTTTCTCTCTACCATATCCACATTTACAAATTGAAGAGGACAAAGTAGATTTATAAGATTTCTACAGTAAATCCCAAAATACGATTGAAACATTCATAGTGACATAATTTTAGAGTATTATAGACCTTACAAACATGCTATAACTGTAATTTGAGCAATCTAATTTTCCACTAAACATCAGCAACAAAATAGACAGCAATACTCATAAATATAGCTTGAAATATAGCAATGTCCATACTGTACATGAATATTGACATATTACATAGGTAACACTAAGAGGCAGTAATATATTGTGTTAGCAGTGGAAATTAACATTGCAACAAAAATGATTTCTTGATTCCAATTTGTGTCCAAGTTTTTGTGCAGACATATTTTCATTTCTCTTGAAGACATACACACCTAGGAGTGGTAATTCTATGTTCAACATTTTTGGACTGCCAGACTGTTTTCCAATGTCCTTACATTTTACATTCCCACCAGCAATGGATGAGGGGGGTTCCAATTTCTCCATATCCTAATCAACATATTTTATTGTCTTTTTGATTATAGTCATCCTAGTAGGCGTGAAGTGGTATTTTTTTTATTAACATCTTTATTGGAGTACAATTGCTTTTCAGTGTTGTGTTAGTTTCTGCTATAAAACAAAGTGAATCAGCTATATGCATACGTATGTCGCCATATCCCCTTCCTCTTGCGTCTCCCTCCCACCCTCCTTATCCCACCCCTCCAGGTGGTTGCAAAGCACCGAGCTGATCTCCCTGTGCCTTGCAGCTGCTTCCCACTAGCTAGCTATTTTACATTTGGCAGTGTGCATATGTCAATGCTACTCTCCCACTTCGTCCCAGCTTACCCTTCCCCCTCCCCGTGTCCTCAAGTCCATTCCCTACATCTGTTTCTTTATTCCTGTCCTGCTCTAGGTTCATCAGAACCTTTTTTTTTTTTTTTTTTAGATTCCATATATATGTGTTAACATATACGGTATGTTTTTCTCTTTCTGACTTACCTCACTTTGTATGACAGACTCTAGGTCCATCCACCTCACTACAAATAACTCAATTTCGTTTCTTTTTATGGCTGAGTAATATTCCATTGTATATAAGTGCCACATCTTCTTTATCCATTCATCTGTTGATGGACACTTAGGTTGCTTCCATGTCCTGGCTATTGTAAACAGTGTTGCAATGAACATTGTGGTACATAACTCTTTTTGAATTATGGTTTTCTCAGGGTAACTGCCCAGTAGTGGGATTGCTGGGTCATATGGTAGTTCTATTTTTAGTTTTTTAGGAAATCTCCATACTGTTCTCCAGAGTGACTGTACCAATTTACATTTGCACCAACAGTGCAAGAGGGTTCCCTTTTCTCCACACCCTCTCCAGCATTTATTGTTTGTAGATTTTTTGATGATGGCCATACTGACCAGTTTGAGGTGATACCTCATTGTAGTTTTGACTTGCATTTCTCTAATGATTAGCGATGTTGAGAATCCTTTCATGTGTTTGTTGGCAATCTGTATATCTTCTTTGGAGAAATGTCTAGTTAGGTCTTCTGCCCACTTTTGGATTGGGTTGTTTTTTTTTTTTTGATATTGAGCTGCATGAGCTGCTTGGATATTTTGGAGATTAATCCTTTGTCAGTTACTTCGTTTGCAAATATTTTCTCCCATTCTAAGGGCTGTCTTTTCGTCTTGTTTATGGATTCCCTTGCTGTGCAAAAGCTTCTGTTTCACTAGGTCCCATTTGTTGATTTTTGTTTTTATTTCCACTTCGCTAGGAGGTAGGTCAAAAAGGACCTTGCTGTGATTTACGTCACAGAGTGTTCTGCCTATGTTTTCCTCTAAGAGTTTTATAGTGTCTGGCCTTACATTTAGGTCTTTAATCCATTTTGAGTTTATTTTTGTGTATGGTGCTAGGCAGTGTTCTAATTTCATTCTTTTACATGTAGCTGCCCAGTTTTCCCAGCACCACTTATTGAAGAGGCTGTCTTTTCCCCATTGTATGTTCTTGCCTCCTTTATCAAAGATAAAGTAACCATAGGTGCGTGGGTTTACCTCTGGGCTTTCTATCCTGTTCCATTGATCTATATTTCTGTCTTTGTGCCAGTACCATACTGTCTTGATTACTGTAGCTTTGTAGTATAATCTGAAGTCAGGGAGCCTGATTCCTCCAGCTCCGGTTTGCTTTCTCAAGATTGCTTTGGCTATTCGGGGTCTTTTTTGTTTCCATACAAACTGAGAAATTTTTTGTTCTAGTTCTGTGAAAAATGCCATTGGTAGTTTGATAGGGATTGCACTGAATCTGTAGATTGCTTTGGGTAGTATAGTCATTTTCACAATGTTGATTCTTCCAATCCAAGAACATAGGATATCTCTCCACCTGTTTGTATCATCTTTAATTTCTTTCATCAGTGTCTTACAGTTTTACACATACAGTTCTTTTGTCTCCTTAGATAGGTTTATTCCTAGGTATTTTATTCTTTTTGTTGCAATGGTAAATTGGAGTGTTTCCTTAATTTCTCTTTCAGATTTTTCATCATTAGTTTATAGGAATGCAAGAGATTTCTGTGCATTAATTTTGTATCCTGCTACTCTACCAAATTTGCTGATTAGCTCTAGTAGTTCTCTGATAGCATCTTTAGGATTCTCTATGTATAGTATCATGTCATCTGCAAACAGTGACAGTTTTACTACTTCTTTTCTGATTTATATTTCTTCTTCTTCTCTGATTGCTGTGGCTAAAACTTCCAAAAACTATGTTGAATAATAGTGGTGAGACTGGGCAACCTTATCTTTTTCCTGATCTTAGAGGAAATGGTTTCAGTTTTTCACCATTGAGAATGATGCTGGATGTGGGTTTGTCATATATGGCCTTTACTATGTTGAGGTAGGTTCCCTCTATGCCCACTTTCTGGAGAGTTTTTAATCATAAATGTGTGTTGAATTTTGTCAAACCCAAAAGCTTTTTCTGCATCTGTTGAGATTATCATATGGTTTCTCTCCTTCAATTTGTTAATATGGTGTATCACATTGATTGATTTGTGTATATTGAAGAATCCTTGCATTCCTGGTATAAACCCCACTTGATCATGGTGTATGATCCTTTTAATGTGCCGTTGGATTCTGTTTGCTAGTATTTTGTTGAGGATTTTTGCATCTATGTTCATCAGTGATATTGGCCTGTAGTTTTCTTTCTTTGTGACATCTTTCTCTGGTTTTGGTATCCGGGTGATGGTGGCCTTGTAGAAGGAGTTTGGCAGTGTTCCTCCCTCTGCTATATTTTGGAAGAGTTTGAGAAGGATAGGTGTTAGCTCTTCTCTAAATGTTTGATAGAATTCGCCTGTATCACTGTGTTTTTGATTTGCATTTCCCTAATGATTAATAATGCTGAGTGCCTTTCTATGTGCTTATCGGACATTTGTGCAAGTTCTTTGGAAAGATGTCTATTCAAAACCTTTGGCTGTTTTTAATTTGGTTGTCTTTTTATTACTGAGCTGTATGACCTCTTGATACAAGTCCCTTATTAGATACATAATTTGCAAATATTTTTTCCTTTTTTATAGGTTGTCTTTTCCTTCCTTGAGCATTACTTACAGAAAAATTCCTATTCATTTTAAAAAGCTGTCTGAATAATGCTCTTACTGACACAGTGGGGGAAGAACAGGGTTAAAAAGTTGTGACATTAAGAACAAGTAACGCATTATGGCCTATGTTACTTGTAAAGGAATATCTGAGCCCAGCTAATGTTATTAAGAGAAGAGAAAAATTTATTAGCTCTCTTCTTAGGTGTCTATTTCCAAACAAGCCTTGAGAGTTAAAGAAAAATCACACTGAAACATGTTTCATGTAAGAGATTTAATTTGAGGACACCTTTAATATGAGCAGACTGTGGGGGTTAGGTTATCGGTGTGACAAGCCGTTAAAAGAATAAACGACTAGAATAATAATGTAGAAATGAAACGAGAAAGGGCACTCGAAAACAGAATGTAGAGATAAGAACAACCCAAATCATTTTAGAGAGCTCAGAAAAGATTAAGAATGATTAAGAGCACTGTCTGAACCCAGAATAAACTTATAATGCCGACACAGCCATACAGAGCAAAGCAATGCTTTCTCTTTATAAATAAGGGAAAAATTTCAAAGAGCTTACACTGGATAACTTAGCATTTTAAGGAATTCTACAGGGAATCCTTTATAAAACAAAAGTTTTATATACAGAGTCTAAAGAAAGCAATATCGATCTTCAGATGCATTATTTCTTACTACATGATTGGAAAGAATGGTAAAATGATTTGCAAAACTACCTTCAAACTATAAAAAATGTCATAACTTTGGTGATCTGCCACTTAAAATTAATGAAGCTTAATATAAAAATTCAATTGCACATAAAGTTCTAAAACTATCATAATGCAATATGGTAAATAAGGGTAATACACACTTAATCCTCAGTACCAATTATTTTATTTACATCGTATGTTAACAGTGTATTTCAAGGTCCCATCCTCCAATTCTTGGTTTGGAGATGCTAATGTAGGCTAAGATTTTTCTAAAACTAACTTCTTTTTAAATTTGGCTTTTTTGTCCCTAAAATAAAAAACTCACTCCCAAATAATCGAACTAAAGAAACATTTGCTTCTCTTACCTTTACTTACTGACAGGAGAAGATTTGGATCTCTTGGATGGAATTTCAGCTCATTGATAGCATTTCCATGGCCAACATAGTGCTATAATAAATTTAAAACATTTCTTCAACTTCCATATAAAAATCAATAAATTCTTTTTCATTAATCTTAGGAGAATGGAAAAATAGTTTCACTTGAAATAGTGGTTCTCAACCTTGGCTGCATATTAAAAGCACCCAATTTGAAGGAAAAATAAAAGATGTTCAAGTCCCATTTGCAGATATTCTGAGCCACAGCAAGGAGTTAAAAGATTATCAGGTGATTCTAATGTACCCCCAAGGTTAATGTGATTTGTGAAATTTTTTTTAGTATCAACTTCCAAGCCTTCACTTTTCAGTTCTTTACAAGGTGCTCTTGACTCTACACCCACTATTTAGGGGATTTTGGAAAATGAGCTCACTCTTTTCTTATTGTTCATTTAAAGCCTCTCAGACTAAAGCAAGACAAAAGGACAGAAATTATTTTAAAAGAAAATAGTTAAAATGATAAAATTTTCCCACTTATTCCTAATTTGCATTACCCAAATGTGACAAAGGTCTCAAAAGACTTGTCTAAATGAAGCAATAGGCAAAGTACAAACCAAATTAGAAATTGCACAGACATTGACTCTGTTTTAAATTCAACATGACAAGCTTTTGCAGGTGTGCATTCAAAAAAAAAAAGCAGATCTATAATTTAACAAGAAAACCCACCTTTATGCACTGCATTGTTATGGGATTAATTATCCTAATTATGCCTCTAGATCCAGCTACAGCCAGCAGAGGATGGCTTGTATTGCTATCATATGTCCATGCACAAGTGTAAAAGTTCTCATCAGCCTAAGAAATGCCAGTTAAGAAATATAATTTGTTTTTGAAAAGTAAACACATCAATGATCACAGTACTATACACAAAAACCTCTAAAGAACTGCTGAAGTTTTTGACAAAGAAGTTCCCATTTTTCTTTACACTACCAGGTTTAACCAATGGAGATTTTAGGTCTAAAATCTATACCAAATGATGAAACAAATCCAGTCCTTCCACTCAGTTTTGATTACTATTTTGCTGTTTGCATAACTATTTACCTGTCTTTTTAGCAGCCATAGCCAATGTGTAAATGAATGGGCATGGCTGTGTCCCAAATAAAAATTTATTTACAAAAACAGGTGGCCAGGGGCTTCCCTGGTGGCACAGTGGTTGAGAGTCCGCCTGTCGATGCAGGGGACACGGGTTCATGCCCTGATCCGGGAAGATCCCACATGCCGCGGAGCGGCTGGGCCCGTAAGCCATGGCCGCTGAGCCTGTGCGTCTGGAGGCTGTGCTCCACAATGGGAGAGGCCACAACAGTGAGAGGCCCTCGTACCGCAAAAACAAAAAAACAAAAAGAAAACAGGTGGCCAGCTCTATAGGCTGTAATTTGCTGATCCTGGCTCTGTCTCAGTAACTCTATGTGCCTCTAGATAAAGATCAATAACTATTCAGTTTTCCACCTTTTCCGGTGTGAGACCTTCCGAGTACGGCTACAGGTCACTTTTTTTCTTATCACCTAAGGGAAGACTAAATGTTCCTGCTTTTTCTTATTCGCTAGCTTTTTCAAATGGATCTGGAAGAAATCTTATCACCAAGCTTTGACTGTTGTACCCTTTGGCTTTTTAAAGCTTTTTCTTTATAAACCCATGTTTTACAGTATTTCCTAAACAAACTGCACATGTTTATTTTTTCCCTGTAGGCTTTGATGACCAAATACTTGGTATGACTGCCAGGCACAGCTTCTGATTAACCCAAGTTCACCAATATAACTGCCCTGAAATGATAAAATTCCAAGCAAGGTCAAAGAAACAGGAAGTTTCTGCTTTCATTTTCTATTACAGGATTTCCAATGCTCATCTCCAGATACCCACACTGTCCTCCTTCATATCCACCCTACAATGGCTTTCTAGGAATCAGGAAAACTAGATACTAGGAATCTTTTGGGTGACAGTGAAAGATAGCATTGGTTAAAGTTAAGAAAGGACAATATAACTTTAGAGAACTAACTAATTTACAAAAGTTTTGGGGTATTTATTGAAAGTCAATTTCTTTAGCCAACAATATGGAAAACCCAGGAAAGGATACATCAGCATCCACATAAGATTGCAACAACCGGATTTCTCCTTGTGAGTGACATTCATATAAGGTAACCTAATAAAAACAAAAATACAGTAAATTTTATCTCAAATGTAGAAACACACTCTTCAGCTTTTGAACATATTTTAGTCACAAATGTATCTCAAAGATGCTACAGAAACTACTGCTTTAAAAGAGCTCCTTTAACTTAAGGAAGCTATTATAAAGCCTAATGCATTACATAATTTTCAGAATATATTAAATACTACAGTAATAATAATGGTTTCTATTTCCAATGTTTTCAACTTTTAACTCATCCATGTAATTGCACCAACTCTTCCAAGTAAATAAAGTTGAATGCCTCACAGTAAAGTATAACTACTCCCTAAAATTGTAGTTTATCTTTTTTTTTTTTTTTGGCTGCACCACAAGGCTTGCAGGATCCCAGTTCCCTGACCAGGTAATGAACCCAGGCCTACGGCAGGGAGTCCCAACCACTGGACCATCAGGGAATTCCTGTGGTTTATCCTCTTTTAAAGCTTTAAAGTCTTTGGATAGTTTTAGAGCATTATTAATTACATATAAGAAAATCTAGGACTTCCCTGGTGGCACAGTGGTTAAGAATCTGCCTGCCAATGCAGGGGACACAGGTTCGAGCCCTGGTCCAGGAAGATCCCACATGCCACGGATCAACAAACCCCGTGCGCTACAACTACTGAGCCTGCGCTCTAGAGCCTGCGAGCCACAAGTACTGAAGCCCGTGTGCCACAAGTACTGAAGCCCATGTGCCTAGAGCTGGTGATCTGCAACAAGAGAAGCCACTGCAATAAGAAGCCCGCGCACCGCAACGAAGAATAGCCCCTGCTCGCCACAACTAGAGAAAACCCACGTGTAGCAACGAAGACCCAACACAGCCAAAAATAAATAAATAAATAAAATAATAAAAAAAGAAAATCTAAAATTTGCCTAATAAGTTTCTCATGGACATTGCTCATCAAATATTAACTTTCTGATGTACAGTGGCCTTTTCGTCACATATTCTAAAATTAATAATATATACACTTTATTCAGTTATGTACAGTTGTCCCTTGGTATCTGCCGGGGATTGCTTCCAGAACTCCCCACAGATACCAAAATCTGAGGATGCTCAAGCTCCTTACATAAAATGGCATAGTGTATGCATATAACCTCACACATCCTCCCATATACTTTAAGTCATCTCTAGACCACTATGACATCTAATACAATGTAAATGCTATATAAATAGCTGCCAGCACAAAGAAAATTCAAGTTCTGCTTTTTGGAACTTTCTGGAATTTTCTTTTCTGAATATTGCTGATCCACACTTGGTTGAATCTGTGGATGTGGAACCCACAGATACAGAGGGCTTACTCTATAATACTAAATTTTTTATAAATTTCTTTCCATTCTTCTTACAGCTTAGTCATGTTAGCAATAACCTATTATTAATCTTAATAAGAGTCTATAAGAACCCTATAAAGATCCTTTAAATCATCTATCATCACCTATTAACAAGATAATCGCTACATTAATATTCTAAAAAAATTCCTTATATGCATGCTAACTAGGTTGTCTTAAGAGATTATTTTGCTTTATTTTTCTTTCTTTTTTTAAAAAAAGAAGTCCAAACAGCAGACCTTTTTATAATTCAGTAACGTACAATTCAATGTCATTTTAAATGAGAACAGGGATTCTTTTGGTTAGAAAGCCTGGAACATTACAATGAGCATACTGGAGCACAAATTATACTAATTCTAATTATACTAATATGATGGTGAAGTTAGTGCAGTATAATCAGGCTTATAGTGACGTCTGAAAAGTGGATTCAAATGAATTAATGTATTATGTTCCCAATTTTCGGAAAAAATAACCTTAATCTCTTCTTCAAACTACATCAATTTCCCTCTGAATTGCTGTTTTCAAGCTACATATCACAACCTACATTTGGCTAAACACCAAAAAAAGCTGTTATCCCAGGTTATCAACTTGAGTATAGAGTTTCAAATTTTCAGAACTTCAATAACCAGTAAAAGCAACAGAGCCTTAAATGTAATTAAAACTTCCTTAAAGACTTCCAGGAAATTACTTAAAGCCAAATTTTACTTTTTAGAAAACAAGAATAGCAAAGTTCTAGCCCAGAATAGATGCATGTGTGTTTGTATGATCCTCAAACTTTCAGAATAAAAAAGGAAAAAAGCTTGGAAATATGCTGACATTTGAAAAATACACAGCTGACAACTCCCATGTTAGTTTTGATTGAGAACAGAATACTAACACTAAAACAGCAAACAAATATAGGAAACGGCATGCATTAAAAATCATGGTCTTTTATTCCTCTAAAAAGCTTAGCACAATTACTAAAGAAGCATAAAATTTAATTTCACTCAATTAAAATAACAATTTATGGAACACCTCTCAGATTCACCTCCTTCCCCTCCCCTCTTGTGCTAAAGGTAAAGAAAGTGACTTTGTTTATTGTCAATCCATACCAATTAGTCAATTTCCTCCGTCTTTCTTTTTCCAAATATGCCAACCTGTTTCTCTGTTACTTCTCATAACTCTTAGTGCAGTACTAATGAATAAGCAGAATGTCAGCTAATACAGTAAAGACTTATCAGGAGGACAATTTTTCCGAAGTTATTTCAGCTTAACAGAAAACTCCTGATTCTCCCTGGTAAGCACTAGGGAATTTTCCTTTTTCCCATTCATTTAGAAGTGAATGGAAATAAACAAGTCTTTGCAATCCACTTTTTCAGCCCCAGGTTTAACTAAAAAGTTTAATCATTTACATCTAAACATGCCCAGCATGGTTTTTTCTATGCATTCTCTCAGTTCAAGATACTCTGGCTTCCTAAAAACAATTCAAAACAAATGTTTATTGCATATAATTAAAGTATTTTCAGTAACTATTACATAAATCCACTGGATTTACGCCTTCCATTTACAGAGAGCAACTAATTATGTTTACTATTTTTAAGAAATCACAGACTTCTTACCCTAAATTGACAAACAACTATCACAGTCACTTCTAACAAGCAAGGTCAATTTTTTCAGCCACTCAAAACAAAATATTTATGAGTACAAAAATGTAAATAGAAACCTGTTTCATGAACAATTGGGAGTATATATGAAATAAAGATATATTTTCAGTCATGAATATTACGTTTAATTTTGTCAGTTTCTAGAATGCTTCACTTTTACATAAAGGAACAATATTGTCAAACCAGCTATACAAAGTTTACTTCAAAATCATTACACTTCAATGTTATATTAACACCAGACTCTAAGCCAAATGCCAAACAGTCCCCTTAACACTCACTCTGTTGCTTCCTACAGTTGCAAACACTAACGGATCTCCTTCTTTACTGTGCCAGTTAAACTGAACTCCAAACAATGGCTGATTATGATCTTCCTATAAAATAACCAAGAAATAAGAAAAATTAATATATTTTAGAAACCAAAAAATGGTACTAAACTGACCATTCCCATTATAACTTTTTTCCAAAATGCAAGCTGCAGTTTTATATATCATACATAAACTGACTTTTGACACTTAAAAGGTATCTGTTAGTCCAGTTTTCACATTTTAAAATACTGGTGCATGATAAAGCTTTATAACAATTAAAGATTTAAATCAAAGGTTAGGTAACAAGTACTCATCGATGAAAATACTTTGATAGTTGCCTTCTATATCCTTAAACCCAACTACACGCTTCTGAATCAAAATAAAATGGATAATTGTGGCAAAGGCATTTAATCCCTTAGGACATAAGGACACAATTTATTTTTCTGAAATAACAAATAACCTAACAGTTAATATAGTTTCTCCAGTACTCATTAAACTTTATTAGGTTTAATTTCCCTCGTACAGTGAAGCATATCAGACTCCATTCAAGTCACTGCTTTCTACAGTTCTATAGAAACAACTTTAAATAACCTTGAATTTGGGTCCTAAAAGAAAAACAACCCAAGAAGTTTTATAATGAACAAGAATACTTGAACAGTGGGGGCCAGGGGAGGCAGTGGGCTGTAACTTCAGTTACCAGGAGGCTATAAGGAGATGTACAAAAAACAAGTATTCAGGTTTTTTAAAATTTTTATTTTACATTGGAGTTGATTAACAATGTTGTATTAGTTTCAGGTGCACAGCAAAGTGATTCAGCCATACATATACAGCTTTTTCAAATTCTTTTCCCATTTAGGCCACCACAGAATATTGAGCAGAGTTCCCTGTGCTACAAGTATTCAGTTTTGTTCACAAAGTTATTTTTCAGCCTTAGTTATACTGGCAATCTCCTGGTGTTTAATAGTAACTTTCATATTCACTTTAAGGCATTGTTTTCACTTTTAAAGTATAACAACATTTGTTTCTTATCCTTTAAAAAGCCATAGCTTTAGGCTTTGGAAATATTTAATCAAAATATCCAAATGGCAGTTAAAACCACCTTCCAGATATACTACGTAAAAATAGGTTAATATACCTAAATATTAACGTGAAACTACAATGGACACTTTGCTTTAGAAGAAGGAAAAAAAAAAAACCAACAACCACTGAGATTAATTTCCCTCCTTTTAAGACAATATAATTTGACACACTGAGCAATGAATTTTGCTACATAGACAGGAAAATAATTTCCATAAAGCCATAGCTTCTTATGCTTTCCGAAGACTTTAAAGTATATTTAGATATTTTAAAAAGAATCTATCTAACATATGTATAAGATAATATAATGTATATTTTTGCTCAGCACAGGAAAAACACCCCCAAATTTAAAAAATAGGAAATGAATACATGTAAAACATTTAAAGTAAATATCAGTAATCCTTTTTAAAAATAAAAAGACTATTGAGGAAGGCAGTAATCTAAATAACTCCAACCTATTATTTTTTCCAAATATTGAATATTCAAAAAAAATTTTAATTTCTACCTTTTTCTTTGAAAACAATTACAAATAAAAGAGTTAAATTTTTAAAGACTGCACAAAGACATCTGTTTCAATTTATGCTAACTCAAAGTTAATGAGTCACATTCAGTTTTTTTCAGTAACAGGTACCAGGAAGTGGCTTATGCTTTTAAGTTTTACCAAAATATGAAGAGTAACATTTCTCAAAATCAATAAAAACAGTAAAGAAAAACCAGATGCAATACTAGGTACTACCCATTTAATGTAAAACAAACAAACAAAAAGCTAAACAAATGTGGAATGGATTATAATAACTATGCAGTCTGCCCTACAAACAAAACTTCAGATTATTATAATTTTATAATATTTTTAACTTGACAGAGTATCTTGAGCATAAAATGTTTACCACTGAGAAATAACTCTGGAGCCCATCATTCAGCACATAGACTGTGTCTTTCTGTACATACCTTGAGACTATTTACACATTTGAAAGAATATTTGCATTTCTTTGACTTCCATTTTCCCTTCCCCCAACTTTTCCTTCCAGGCGCGTTTGGTGTATTTGTAGGTGTATCAGGGCGTTCAGTGTTTGTACCACTTTCTATACTGACAGCATCATCCTATGAGCAGCAAATCAGAAAAAATTATATGAAACAGCAATACTGTACTTAGGAAATGAGTTAATACTGGGTAGCTACTGACTGGCCTAAAAGAATTAATTAATAAATCCTGCAAGAAATGAAGAAATTTATTCTTGTCCCCAAACAAAAATAAAACACAAACACATTAGGATTTGTGGATATTTGATATTTCAGCAAAAATATAAACAAAAAAGCTAACCATGATGATGCTAATGGTAAGAATGATACTGCCTTTAAATAACAAGGCACTGGTCTGTGCCAGCCACTTTACTACATTGCCTCACTTCATCTTTACTGCTCTTCATACAAGGTACTGTTAGATAAGGAAGTGTTGCTTAGAGAGTCTAAATGCTGGTTAGGGCTGCTGGTATTCAAAACCAAAAGCTATGACTCCTAAATCTGACTGACCTACATGTCTTCATAATTTATTTGACTGCTGCTCAGTTTGGAGCATGGGAGTGGGTGGCCATTTGAGGCTACAGTGTTAGTGCTTCCTACTTTAGATGAAAATCCTGATTATCATTCTAACTCTGCTTATTTATAACACTTAAACCATTTAGAATTTTTTTTAGGTTCTACATGTTATGTGCTATATACAAGTGAAATCTGACTCATAGCTCTAAAATACTCATATAATAGAGCTCCAGAAACTCACTGCAAAATCCTTCCAAAGGTAGAAATGACTGCAGGAAACCTTGAAAATTCACCTAATTTATACCCTGTCTCTAGTCCACAAGCTATATTAATGGTCCTCTACTCTGAGAAGAGGATTTCACTACCTCCTTTGATTACATATTCCAAAGTGTTCCTTGGAATAAAGAGATTTATTTAAACCTATATCACCTTAGGGCAGTAGTTACTAAATTCATTCCAGAGGAAGCTTTTTTTCATGGAGTGCCTATTAACACCTATGAGAACACATATTAGGAACCACTGTCTTAGAGGTTATTTTTAAATTACTGCTTCCTAAGGTTGGTTTTATGATATTACAGAACATTAAAAATTAACTGGAGTATCAAAAAGTATATTAAAAATTCATATTAATTCCTTAAAAACTATATGGTATTATACAGTAGTTCTTAGGGGTGGTTTTTCAAAACGAATGGTTCCTACCAAAATGGAACGCTTTAAAAAAAAAATACACAAATCATTCTAAAATATACTGGTTATGGGCTTCCCTGGTGGCCCAGTGGTTGGGAGTCCGCCTGCCGGTGCGGGGGGGCGCGGGTTCGTGCCCCGGTCTGGGAGGATCCCATGTGCCGCGGGGCGGCTGGGCCCGTGGGCCATGGCCGCTGGGCCTGCGCGTCCGGAGCCTGTGCTCCGCGGCGGGGG